ACATCTTGCCAAATAAACGGTTAGCACGAAGAGCAGATAAAACACAAGACAAGTGAAAAGCATGCTCTTCTATGTCACGGCTATAAATCAATATATCATCAAAGTACACCACAACGAATTTACCAATAAACTCGCGCAAAACATGATTCATAAGCCTCATAAAAGTAGAAGGTGCGTTAGTTAACCCAAATGGCATCACTAACCACTCATACAAACCGAATTTGGTCTTAAAAGCTGTCTTCCATTCATCCCCTGGCCTCATCCGAATTTGGTGATATCCGGATGCTAAATCAACTTAGCGTCATACTCTTTCGGTATAGGTACTTCCGTCTGACGTAGGAGACCACTGACACTTTCTTGCAACTTCTTGGCTTTAGAACGTGTCATAGGACCAGAAGACTTAGGTGTCATGATGGGAGCTTCCTCAGGAAGGTCTACATCACAGGGGCTGAAGGAATGCATTTTGTCGCTCATGTTGATTGAATACGATCTAAGTTATGACGTTATTGGCTGGACGTTCTTTTTCTTTCCAAAGCAAATATTTCAACATTCCTCGCCCACTATGGCTAATAAATGATGATATGAATAGCTAATGATGACATTAATTAGATGCTACCTTCAATTTTTTCTTGATAGATAAATTGAAACTATTGGGTGTTTTTTCTATCCTTCTCATTACACTACTATGAAGCGTGATACCAAAAATTTTATAATGGAGGTTTCCTAGGACCTTCAACTTTGTCTTGTTACATTCCAGCAGTAAGATCAACCTACCTATCTAGAAACAACTTCAGATGAGATTGCTCCAATGGACGAAGAACTGATATTGAAGGATGATATTATTCTTCATTTATAAAAATTAATTCAAAGATGAATCAAGAGTTAAAAGAAGCATTAGACAATCACATGCCCCTTTCTGTTTTGGATATTACATTTACCATGATCTTGGCCATTCTAAGAAGATAATTTCATTTGAAAGAGCAAAGAGGGACGAATCTATATGTATTTGGTCTTCGAGCATATTAAGCTGATTAGACATTGTAATGTTGCAAAAGAAAATGATTTTTTTTTTGAAAAAAATCTCCAAATTTTTTTGGTTTAGTACAAATCGTAATGTGAGCTTGAAGGCTTATATGTATACAACGGGTGAAAATTTTATTTATTATTTTACATTGCAAATTCAAACTTCCATCACTAAAAGATGTTTATAACAGTCCCAAATGTTCAAGAGCAATTCAACTGTGTTGCAAAACTCACAGCATCAAAGACCAACCTGTGGAAAATCTTAGGATGTACAGTGTGCCTCAAAACTTTTCTAATATAGAATTTCTACAAGACCAATCTCTTTTGCAACATACTTCAATGTTTCAAGAAATAAAAAACTATTATATGCAGATTTGATGTTTGAATAGTGGGTGATTTTCTTAGTGGGTGAATTAATCTTGACTTATCTATACACTATACCAATGCAAACTCCAGCAAGAGAAAGCCTAAGGTATAGTATCATGCCACATTGGACTTCCAAATATATAATTTTTAAGTCTTAAAAAATAACAAAAAATAAGTTACCATCTATCTTCCTTACTAATTAGCTATTAGTCAGAATTCTTATTTAATATAATAACTAGAGGCAATATAGGGAGAGATATTGACAAATATTAATCTAAACGAGTAATTAAAACAATTAAAATAAATAATAAAACGTTTGAATTTAAACTGAAAACAAAATATGATAGCCATTTTAGGAGCAAACAAATAATTCCATGAACAGAATATTATAATTAGAATTTGGATAAAATTCAGATTCTATAAAATCTCTTAAATCACTGAGATCTCTCTATGGGTAGTTAAACGCATGTCATAAATTTACTTCTCATCTCATTCCTCTTCTTAGATTTTCGTCAATATGAATCAGGTAACATTATTTATGTGAACCAATTTCATTTATTTTTATGATTTTTTGGTTCGAGCTACTAAGAACTCTTATCGAGTCCAAGCACATATTTCCAGGTCTAATTATATTTTTCCATCACTTGAATACTTTGCACATTTGGATAATAATTTTTTTTTATCTTAATTTAAAGTCATGATGTTTAAATTTCTTATTTGATTCATGATTAAAGATTCTTGACCACGGGATAATAGAGTCGCATGACATCTTCCCCGTCTAGAAAAACAATTTGAAAAAAAAAGTATTGTAAGTAAATCCTAAGAATGATGAAGTATGATCTTTTCCCAGATAAAAATTTCAATATAACAGGTTGTAATCCTCTATTCGTGAAAAACATGCGATAGTATTAAGAGATGATGGAGCCATACAACTACTTGAATTATACACGATTAAAAGTCAAGAGATGATCCATTTTGTTGATTGGCGCACGATTTTTTTTTTTTTTCGTGTGACCATTGGGCGCTTAAAGAGATGAATAGTTGATTTCAAAATTCGGCATTAAAATTTTGAAAAATTGTTTAAATTTAATGGTTATTTATAAGAATATACACAAAAAAGGCGGATTTTTTATTCTTCAAACACAATTAAAAATAATTTTTGTTTCAAATTAGAATCACTAATATCACACTGCATTTAATTTAATTGAATTGTATGTAATTTAATTGTAGTCATTTCCTGAAATAGGTAACATTATTTAATTACATGTAAAGGAACTATGAATCTAGAGAACACACCGACCAATGGTGTTGAGCTATGGGGTTGTATGAAAGGTATTCGATCGTATGAAATTTGAGAGAAAATTGTATTCGCTGAAACTGACAGGATTGCGGTAAATCTGGTGAAGACATGAAAGGAACAACTGATAACAGTAAAATATATACCCTTTTAGTAGGCATTTATTACTCAGTTCTATTTATAATTTAGTGTCAGTTAGTTAAAATTAGTTTATTTTTGGGGTGATTTTGCAGTTCAGGTATCTCAGAGGGCCAATGTGAAAAATCAGCATACATGAGGGCCAAATTGCACAAAAAGGTATCAGAAAGGACTGGAATGGAAGCTGCTGGAAATTGGACTGTTGAGAGGATGATCAGAGCTGGAGCAAGTTGAAAAATCCTTGCTAAGGAAGGAAGATTGGCAACAGAAGATCACCACTTGGTAGAATCTGCGGCAGCACACTCAATTGAGAGGAAGAAGGGCAGCTGCCCTACTCCCACATTGCTGCTGCAGTAGTTGTTGTTGTTGTCAATCAAAGAGAAGCCACGAGCTAAAATCTTGGTGCCCAAGGAAGGAAATTGCTTTGCCATCATTGCAAGTTGTTGCTGTTGCAAGTGGAAGAAGATAAAGAGGGAGAATATGTGATAAGCAGCATCTGCAACTCTGCTACTTACCCACTGATGTTGCTGCTGAGTCGATGGATTGGCTGTTGTAGAAGGGTGAGCAATGGCATAGCAAGTGACCCAGGAAACAAGGAAGAAAAGGGCAGAAAATTCAGGCTGAATTGGGGGCTGAGACACAATGATGGAAGGAAGCATGATGCTAATGCTGCTGCTTGCTACTGCTGCTAGTTGGGCTGCTGAGGAATAAGAATGAAGAAATGGAGATTTGTGGCTGCAAATGGTGAGAAGGCGCCGGAGAAGAAGACTAAAGAGAAGCAGAAATGATGAGTAGAAGATGACTGACTCCGACTGAAGAAGGAAGAGGCTACCGAGAGAAGGCAGCAACTTGCCAATTTGCTGAATAAAGTTGCTGAATAAACAAATGTCTTTGGCTGCTGCAACTTGCTGTCTCCTCTACTTTGTTGAACAGAAGACCAGAACTCCACCAGTCCAAGCCTCTCCAAATTTCTATAAATAGTCAGCCAATAGCAGTTAGAAAAACAACAGATTGGGTAGTTAGATTTAGTTACAAAGACAGTAGTTAGGTAGTTAGTTAGTAGGTTAGAAACAGGATGGTAGCAGGAACAAGGAGGCAGACTGTCACTCTGTCAAGTGGCGAACGCCACTTGCCATAGTGAGCAGACAGAAACTGTCCCTGCTACCATCTCCCCTTTCTTTCCTCTAACCATTTGATCTATATTCATGTCTTATTTTTTTGTACTTTGTTGCTCTCATGTTTAATTCGATAAGCATGGGTAGTTCAATCCCTACTATCTTTATGTGAAGGTTTTGATTCAGTTTCCTTAATGAGGTGTTGTGCCTAGAAAAGTGATTTAATTAACCTTTTAATTAACTTAGCCACTTAATTAATTGTTCTTGCATGGTTATAAAGATCTTGAAGGGAAAGCATAACCTTAGAACTGCTTAATCTAGTCTATGACAATGGAGGAAATCTACCCTGCGGCTCCAGATTTCAACGGAAGTTAGGTGAATAGCATAGGCAATCATAAAGGGTTTAAGAACTCAATGGCTTAGATTAAAGAACACTCTGACTGGGTTGATAATTTAGGACTCTTTATTCAGTACAGAAGGAATTATAAGGATACCTAAGTGCCTGATCAAACAACTAATTATACACTACATGAATACTTGAATCAAAACTGGATCATAAAGGTAGGAAGGTGATTGACCCTTTTGCCTCTTCACTTGTCAAGTGACTATTCTCACTCTCCCAAAGGACAATCTGTTCAACTATTTTCTTTCTTTTTCTGTACTTTATTTTGAGCGGGTGACAGCCGTCCCTGTGGAACGACCCTGCTTACCACTAGCTAATAGTTTTAAGTAGGTTTATAAATTATTCTTTTCAGAAGTGGATCAACGACACTACACAAATCCATCCACCAAAAGTGGCGCCGGTTGCCGGGGATGGGTTTAAAAATCCTTGAAATCCGATTACTGTGTTTTGTTTTTAGTTCTTTTTAGCTTTTGTGTTTTTATTCACTCACCCAAAATCTTTTATTGTTACTTTTGTGATTTGATTACTGGTTTATGACTAGAACAATCCTTCGAGAGAGCTAAGTTTTGATCCAGAAATCAAAGACACGGCGAGGAGATCAGAATTCTTATGAAACAGAGAAACTGCTGCTCAAGTTCCTAAAGAAGATCAGAAGAAGATGGCAGAGGTAGCAGCAGCTGATCAACCTCAAGAAAGAGAGCTACAACTAGCTCAACCCAGACTGCTAAGAGATTATTCTGTACCCCAAGAGGAGGAAGTTCAAACTCCATTGGCATACAATAATGTTGCAGCAGAGAACTTTGAGCTCAAAACTCAAATGATTCAATGGGTGCAAGCTGCTTGTCTTTTCTATGGACTACCAGTGAAGATCTGAATGAGCACAACCGGAAGTTCCTGAGATTGTGCTGTCCAAGAATGAGGTATATTTAAGAGTGTTTCAATTCACATTGCAGGATCTGGCGGCAAAATAGTTTGACACTATGTCCTACAATCCAATCAACTCCTGGAATGGACTCAGACAGGCATTCCTTACAAAATTCTTCCCACCTGTCAAGGCTGCTGCTTTAGGATCAGCCATCATGACTTTTTAGCCGCATGGGACAAAGACTCTTTATGAGGCCTGGGAAACATTTAAGGACCTGATGAGAAGGTGCCCTCAACATGGTGTGGAAAAGCCAATGTAGTTATGCATTTCTACAATGGATTGCAGCAAGCCTCCAGAGAATCACTTGATTCATCTTCTGGAGGAGCGTTCATGATGAAACCTATAGAAGAGGCAATCTAACTATTGGAGAATATGTGTGCAACCCACTTCAGATGGCAAAAGGAGCCTAGAGCTACATCTAAAAAGGCAGGAGTGTTCGAGCTAGATGCTAAAAGTCATTTGCAAGCATAGATGGCGGCCATCACCAGTGAAATATCAATGCTGAGAGCTGACTTCAACAAACCAAAAGCTGATGTGTGTGAAATCTGCACAGGATCTCACCCCAGCTCTGTCTGTCAAGCCATAGTGGAAGAAGTTCAGTTCGTGAGGCAATGAGATAACAGAGAAGGCTTCAACAGTTACAACAATTGGAGGCCACAACAGAACAACAACTGGACTAACCAGCAGTCAAACTACCAGAGATCAGCTCAACCATCTGGATTTCAAAATCAACCATTCAGAGTCAAGGAAGAAGACTTAATCAAGGTTGGTAATGTTCTTGCTAGTCTTGATGCAACTGTAAAAAATATGCAAAATCAGGTTGCACAGATGGCAAGGAGGATACCAGACAGACCTGCTGGCACTCTTCCTGGCGACACACTGGAAAATTCCAAGAGAAGGGAAGCACACAGCACAAATCAAAAGGCCGACATGCAGCACAAGGAGGTGTTGCAATTAAATGAATCTAAGTAAGGAGCACCAATCAGTCTGGCATTAGACGTTAAACCAATGGGCTGCTTGGGAGGCAACCCAAGGTAAGTTATTTTGTTCTTCTTAGTTTTTGTTTAATTATCTTTTGTTAATTAATCAATTTGTTTTAGTGGCAATCAGAAAGGGAGGAAGAGCCCTTATCAGAAATTTTTAGATGAAGAATGTGTGGATGGTTAACCTGAAATGACTTGCCCACTCTGATATAATCACAACGGTAGCATGTCAGTTTAATTATCCAACACCGGCAAAGAACAAGAATCGGTCGTCTCACTTCGGCGAGTGATGGATTCACTTTTGCGACTGAGATGATTGACAAAAAGGTGACTTGCAATTCTTCATACACCTTGTCTGATTTGGCAAAAAGAAGGAAAAATCTATTTTGAAATCTTTAAAAAGAAGTGGAGTACCTGAGCCGCCAAAATGATGAGTTTGGGAAAACAAATCACCCCCACTCCTCACAAAAAACGGCTGCCCACTACCCCAGTCTCTGCGAGTTTTGAAACACACCACCCACTCTGCCATAATCCCTATTTACCACTCTTTAAAAACCCAAAGAAATGAAACCCAAATCCAAACACTTTTCTGGTTATTCCACTGAATCTACCCCTTTTATTTCCAACCAAGAATCAAGCACTCTTATGACATACACCTTCACCCATGGCTAGAGTTAAACAAACTGCTAGGAAGAGAGCATATCGGATCCAAGGGATCATCTCTCTCCCGCCACACCTTCCCAAGAATCCAACTAGAGCCCAAAGGGAAGAGCATCAGAATCGCCTCAGGGGAATTGGAGATATGGTCTCATCATAACCCTTGGGTGGACGACATTTTATCAAAGAACATGGGAAAGGAAGGCTATTGTGGAAAGGGAGGTTGACATTTTAGCATATCCATATTCAGACATAATTGAACGTGGCTGGCAAGGATTCTGCACCTTCGCAATCAAACAAAACCTCACCACTATCAGAGAATTCTATAGCAATCTATGGGGAGCGGATGAATATGAAATCGTAGTGAGAGGCAAGGCAGACGACATCAGCAGAGCGGCAATTCGAGAAACACTTGAGTTACCGGCCAACATCCCTCTGTACGAAGATACGGCCTTAGACATGATGGATGAAACACCTGAACGAGAACTGCCAGTAGCACTTTGTGAAGATGCAGCGGAGGATATCTGGACCATTGATGGTCAGGGGTTTCTGAAACATTTTCCGACAGCAGAATTGAAGCAAGCTTACAAACCATGGTTCAACTTCATTTGCACAAATTTGATGCTCTCTAATCATCTAGGAGTGGTGACATTTGATGCAGTTATCTTGTTATATGCCATTGCCATGAACATTCCAATAGATGCGGCAGATATAATTAGAAGACAAATGCACCGATGCTTGAACCTGAGGCAGAAATACTGGTTCTTCCCAATATTAGCCACAAGGTTGATGATGAGAGCCGGTGTTCACTTTCTGCCAGGAGACGAGAGAGGAGAGATTCCAACTCCATGGAATGTACAAGGTCCACCAGACTCGTACATGAACCTATAATCACCCAGGGGAGTTTTCTGTTTTCTTTTCTTTGCTTTTTCTTTTATCTTCTGTTTCTTTTAATTAGGTTTGTTTTTGAGTTTTTTCTTTTTTGAGTCTATCCATCTAGAGTCCTTGGGATAGATAGAGTCCACTTTGTATGATGATTTTTCTAATTAACAGTTGAATTGCATACTAAGTGAATGTGTGTTGTTCTTCCCCTGTTCTCTGTGTTTAAAAGCATTGAGGACATGCTTATTTTAAGTTTGGGGGAGGGATTTTTATGTGTTGCATATTTTAAGTTTTAACAGGATCAAATTTTTTTCAAAAAAGTCTAAATTTTTTTTAAAAACATTTGTGTGGAATTGTGAACAAGTGTATGTAATACAGTGTCAAAAGTCTATGATGATTCAAAAATGAGCGGCAAATTTTGAAATTTTGGACACTTGTTGATTCACGTGAAGTCAGTCACATGGTTCTTCACTTTCTCGAGCACAATATGTCACTTGGCAAAGTGAGAGTTCTGAACTTAATGCTAAAATCTAAATTCCTAAGTACATTGTTGTGATCCTATACTGGAGTCCACTTGTCTGAAATCTGGGGGGACTGTAATTCTGAGTGAAGACTAAGGCAGCCCTTCGTATCATGGCAGACTCTGTAAGAGCCCATGGTGGTCTGTAAAAGCCTAAATACCTTGGCAAGGGGAAAGGTAGGCGGTTGAATTGAAAGAAAAATCTGAAAAGAGGGAAGTTAGGAAGACTGTCCAATGAGACAGTAATACCCCTGAATGTTTAGGTTTTGCAAACCAGTAGAGAGAGTCCTCAGGCCTGGTGTTGAAAAATCAGAAAAATGAATAAACTACCCTAAGTTGCTAAGCCACTGTGAGAAGTCACTATAGATAATGACTGGAAATATGCTCTTGGTGAAATGCCCTAAGTTACTGAGCCACTCTGAACTTATATTAGGTGGAAATATGATCTGGGTAGGGGCCTGAGTGGAAAGAGCAAGACAAAAAAGCCATATGGACAAGGAGAAAAAGGGTTGAGGGAGAAACAAGGTGTAGCCAATGTTGCTGCTGAATCTGTGAGGAAGTCCTTAGAATCTAAAAACCTCAGTAAAATTACCTTAGTTGATGGCATGCAGGAAATAGGTACTGATCACAATAATGTTCATTTGTTCTTAAATTGATTAAATCTTAGAATGGATAGGTAAAACTTGAACTCTGGCTGAGATATATGCACACACACGCTAAATAACTGTGACACTGCTTTCCTGTGATGAACAATGGTGTATAATCGGTCCAGTAAGGGACTTGAATCTGAGACTAACATTGATACAATGTTGCATTTACTTCTGATCATTTAGCCACATTCTTTTTCAATCACTGATATTACTTTTATCCATGAAAATTCAAAAATATCACTTCTCCTTTTTGAGTCAGTCCTTCTGTGTCTAGGTCAGTATGAGTGTAGTTTTAATCTGTTTGCTAGAGGATCAGCAAAGCTCTGAGCTTGGGTCTGTCGCTTGAGGACAAGCAACACTTCAAGTTTGGGGGTATTTGATAACAGTGAAATATATACCCTTTTAGTAGGTATTTCTTAGTCATTTCTACTTATAATTTAGTATCGTTTAGTTAGAATTAGTTTACTTTTGGAATGATTTTACGGTTCAGGTATCTCAGAGGACCAATGTGGAAAACCAGCATAAATGAGGGCCAAATTGCATAAAAAGACATAAGAAAGGATTGGAATGGAAGCTGCTAGAAATTGGGCTGTTGGAAGGATGATTAGAGCTAGAGCAAGTGAAGAAATTCTTGTTGAGGAAGGAAGATTGGCAACAGATGATCACCAATTAGAAGAATCTGCAGCAGCACACTCAATTGAGAGGAAGTACGGTAGTTGTCCTGCTGCCAGATTACTGCTGTAGTAGTTGTTGCTGCTGTCAATCAAAGCGAAGCCACGAGCTGAAATCTTGGTGCCCAAGGAAGGAAATTGTTGCTGTTGCAAGTGGAAGAAGAGAAAGAGGGAGAATATGTGATAAGCAGTTGTTGCAACTCTGCTACTTACCCACTGATGTTGCTTCTGAGTTGATGGATTGGCTGCTGTAGAAGGGTGAGCAATGACATAGCAAGTGACCTAGGAAACAAGGAAGAAAAGGGCAAAAGATTCAGGCTGAATTGGGGGCTGAGACGCAATGATGGAAGCAAGCATGCTGCTGATGCCGCTGCTTGTTACTGCAGCTAGTTGGGCTGCTGAGGAATAAAGAATGAAGAAATGGAGATTTGTGGCTGCAAATTGTGAGAAGGCGTCAGAGAAGAAGACTAAAGAGAAGCAGCAATGATGAGTAGAAGATGGCTGATTGCGGTTGAAGAAGGAAGAGGCTACACAAATGCCATCGGCTACTACAACCTGTTGTCTCCTCTGCTTTGCTGAACAGAAGGCCAGAACTCCACCAATCCAAGCCTCTCAAAATCTCTATAAATAGTCAGCCAATAGCAGTTAGAAAAACAAAAGATTGGGTAGTTACATTTAGTTACAAAGACAGTAGTTAGTAGGTTAGGAACAGGATAGTAGCAGAAACAAGGAGGCGGACTGTCACTCTGTCAAGTGGCGAACACCACTCGCCATATTGAGCAGACAGAAACTGTCCCTGATACCATCTACCATCTTCCCTTTCTTTTCTCTAACCATTTGATCTGGATTCATGTCTTATCTTTTGTACTTTGTTGCCCTCATGTTTAATTCAATAAGCATGAGTAGCTAACACAGTTGAGGGTTCAATCCCTACTATCTTTATGTGAAGGTTTTTATTTAGTTTCCTTGATACGGTATTGTGCCTAGATAAGTGATATAACTAACCTTTTAATTAACTTGTCCACTTAATTAATTGTGCTTGCATGGTTATGAAGATCTGGAAGGGGAAGAATAACCTTAGAACTGCTTAATCTAGTCTATGACAATGGAGGAAATCTATCCTGCGGTTCTAGACATCAACGGAAGTTAGGTGAATGGCATAGGCGATCATAAAGAGCTTAGGAACTCAATGGCTTAGATTAAAGAACACTCTGACTGGGTTTATAGTCTAGGACTCTTTATTCTGTTTGGAAGGAATTATAAGGATACATAAGTGCCTGATCAAACAACTAATCATACACTACAGGAATACTTGAATCAAAACTGGATCATAAACGTAGGAAGGTGATTGACCCTTCTGCCTCTCCACTCTATCAAGTGACTATTCTCACTCTCCCAAGTGATAATCTTTTTAACTATTTTCTTTCTTTCTCAGTACTTTAATCAAAATTTGAGCGGTTGACTGCCGACCCTATGATCTAACATGCTTACCACTAGCTAACAGTTTTAAGTTGGTTTATAAATTATTCTTTTGGGAAGTGGATCAACAATACTACACAAATCCATCCACCAACAACCGAATAAGAATGCTCATTTAGGATTAGAGGGTAGTGATGGGTGTCGAGACCACCTAAATATACCTGCTTAATACTTGTAGTAAGTGATAAGAAGGGTTGATCCCACAGAAACGGGAAACACTTAATGAAAATTGGGATCCAGAGCAAGAACACAAAGATAAGTAAAAACAGAAGATTGACAAGTGAATTTATTACTTGGCAAACAACTAAGTCATTAAGATCTTCGGCCCTTATGATTGCCTTGTGCCAAACAACTAACTTCCGTTATTGTTTGAAACCTTGGGTAGTTACCCCTTCGTCACCAGTTAATCTTATACATTCTAAGTTAAGTTTATCCTTCCGGAATTCCCCTAACATGCAAGCATGATTAGTTTGAATGGCCTTTTTAATCTAAAAGGATAATTAAAACTCAAAGACTAAGTATACAAATATCGTTCAAGAACACGAATCAAAACTTACTTATATAGAATAGAGGGGTTAGACCCTAGAAAATGAGTTTAGCTACTCATGGAGCGAAGTTCAAACACTACAAAGTTCAAGTGTTGAGACTCCTTCATGGTTACAATAGATAGTACAGAAAACAGGAGAAGAGTAAAGTCAGGGAGTGTGGTGAAGTCAGTCAGCTTCTCACTTCCCAAACTGACACCCTTGAGTCTACCTTTCAGAGTTAGACTCTGTTTCTACACTACTAAACTAAACTATACTATCTAAGCTACTACTTTGATTCTGATGTTCTTCAATGTCTTCTTCTTCATGTTGTTGCTGCCTTTTATAGAGGTTGGGGGAGAGATCCTTGCTTAGCCAAGTTGATCTCCTCTTTACCCGATGGGTTTAAGCAAAAGAGAGGAGACCCATACTTCTTCCAACTTCCTCCTTACCTTTAATCATCTTTTAGGAAGGATTTGGTTGATGAAAATAAGATTTAAGGCACATCGATCTTTCACTCCTGACAGTAGCATCACTTCTTCACCTTCCCTACTTTCTTAGCTTTGAAGACTTTTTCCAATTCGTCAATTCCTCCCATCGGATTCTGCACTTCTTCAGCCCTTGCACATTAGTCCCTGCAACATCTTCCAATTTGGCTCGAAACTTCACAATTCTGCCACATTTTGACCACCCTTTTGCTCATATTGCTTTTCAGCCCCTGTATTGCTAGAAGTCACCAAATTAGCCTATAAACATATAATTATAACCTAATTGACCTATAATTAAAGCATGAAGAGGTAAAATATGCACCTAAATTCATAGTACGAAATGCAGTCATCAACTCCCCCAAACATGAAGAGTTGCTTGTCCTCAAGCAAACACAACATCTACCCCCTATACTGACTCTAAACCAGAGAATGCAGCAAAGAAAATAGTCAAAAAGATTGTCTCAAAAACAGGTCTCAACAGAGACAGATGTATATACTACAGTTCAAAACCCACTTGGGCAAGACAGAAACTCACTTCCCCAAGCGCATGCTTATTAGACACAGAACAAGGTGTTGATTTTTTGTTTTTAAGTTAAGTTCATTTCAACACAATGGACATTCCTGGATCTATACCTATTTCCATCAAGTCTGTAACTAGGGTATTCTAACTGGAATTCAGACTGAAGGCTTCCTCAGTTAACTGGTAGCACATTGGCTGTATCTTTCACCTTCATAGCCTTTGCTTCTATCCATATTGGATTTTCTTCTGGATCTTTCCTACGCAGGCCTTTACCAAGAACATTTTTCAGCACTTTTCTGGTTGCCATGCCTCACCTCTCAAGAGTTTATAATGCCTTATTAGACATTCTGCCTATACTCCCTCAATTAGCTAAACAGAGAACCTCAGTTTTAATCCGCCAATTTTCCCTTTTCTCGCAGGTATTTGAGACTATTCCAAACCACTATGGGCTCGATTCGAGGCTACCATAGTGCATAAGCTGCCTTAATCTCTATCCAGGTTTACAATCCCCCCAGGTTTACAAACAAGTGAGCTCCAGTACAAATCACATCAATGCAGGAAAAATTTTTAATTTTAAGAATTTTAGACCAGAACAACACTTTACCAAGTGAACTTTTGACATTAGGAAGTGGAAGCAAGTTTATATGATGATCATGTAGTATTCAAACAAGTGTTCAGCCAAATGTAAGCCTCAATTCTATTTCATCCTTGACATTTGACTACCTAATAAGCATGCATTCTCAACTTATCTAGACACAGAAAGACTTGACTGACTCAATCACGGAGAAGGAAACAAAAACAAAACAAAACTTAAAAGTAGAAGAAAACAGAAAAAACAGGGCAAAGTGCCCAAAAACAAAGACTCAAACAGACTCTATCCTAAAAGGCAGAGACAACCTAAACATGGTCAATTCTCTTGATAACCTCCAAACTTAAAATCCAACATTGTCCTCAATGCTGAGTAAAAAGAGAATAGAGGAGAAGATGAAGAGAATTAACAAAAACACAAAACATAACATAACAAAAACTAAAAACAGAAAAGAAAGAAAAAGAAAAAGAACTAGTGACTCCCCTCGCTTCTATCATTCGCCAACAAATGGGTATCTGTGCAGCGGATGAGAAAGTGAAGGGATGGTTCTTTCCCATCCTCATGACAAGGTTAATGGAATGGTCCGGTGTCACCCACAAGATGAGCAATCAACACTACCACTACCATGAACACCACCACTTTATGAATCCTCATGCTCGGATACCGGACCATTCCATTAACCTTGTCATGAGGATGGGAAAGAACCATCCCTTCACTTTCTCATCCGCTGCACAGATACCCATTTGTTGGCGAATGATAGAAGCGACATTGATGGTGATGTTATTGATGATGGCAAATATCAGCAAGGCCTTGTCAACGGATACAAACTGGCGAGATTTAACAGGCATGATGTTGGTGCACACCAGGTTGGACCATCCTCTGTGCTGAGCCTTCAAATGTTTAGCCAAAAATTCCTCAGGAAAATCATATTAATCCAAGCTCCATTCCACTGAAGTGTGGTTACTGCAGAGGGCTTTCTTTCTACTGTACGAAAGCTTTTTCTTCATTGGCATGCGAGCAATGGCATCCTCCCAATCATCCTCTACCTTTGGCAATCCCAGCACCTCTCAAATAGCCTTCTTACTTAGTTCCACTATTACTCCTTGAACATAGACATATTGCCCTGTGACAGCGGTCAAGTTGGCATAGAGCTCTTGTACAACCCTCATCCTCGGTCTGGTGGTTGGGTTGCAGAGACCTTCCCAACGCTTATCGTTGATGTTTGTCGACAGGTTGTCATGGTTGAAGCACTGCCGTTCTGTTCTGGTGTCATTGAAAGAATTCCCATCTAAACTCTGGGATGAAGGGTGTACGATCTCTTGGATCTTGGAGGCGCGTTCTGACTTCATGCCTTTCATCCCTATTGAGAGTAGGGTTTGGCACAATCACATGCTCCGATAGCATTCCAGAAGAGCTGGACTCCCCCGTTCGCAGAGTTCTACGTCTGGCCGCCTCTTTTATTTTTGGATTCAT